CCTTTACATGATCTCTCTGAATAGTTTACAGATTAAACAGACTTGCTTCTGGAGGTGCTATTTGTATCCCAAACACTGTTTTGATTTAGTGGTTCTTTTAACCAATAATTCAGTTAATCATTAAAAAGACAGAATATGGGGTAAGGGGCTGTTGGTCAAGTTCTACCTTAAAGACAACTGTACCTATTTACAGGTCTGCCATGAACTGTTGGACAGATTGTTCACTGCTCAAGAGGGCCAAATTGAGGCCCAGTATGGACTGAAATACAGCCTTCAATCCAGAAAACAATCCTCATGCCCTGACATTGGCTGCATTTGCCAGGGGAATGGGGCACATGTTGTCATACAGACTATTGGCATCCTTTGTACTTAGGGAGTATTGGATATAGGATAATCTTAGAAAGAGCTCTTAATTCTGCCTTTATGGCTGCCCACATGCTGGGGAGTACCAGGCAACACCAATTCCTCACCCAAGATTCAGTGCTGGCTGAGTGTAAATTGAAGGTGCTCAGTGAAAGGCCTGGCCTCCTTTAAATTCTATTCAGTGATAGAGAACATCATCTCTCAGCACTCCCCTGGGAGATTCATTCTGGTTAGGAAAATCGTTTGAGAAGATCTTGGGATAAAAGTAAAGTCTAAAAACATGAAGCTTCAGAGAAAGGGGGTGTTACTCTAGATGTTAGAAGGGATAAATAGAGAGTGGGCTGTAAGAGGGAGAAGGCGAGGCTTCAAAAGGAAAAGGGGGAAAGATGAGAGAAGAGAGTAAGGAGTATTATGGCCCATGCTTCCTGTTGTGAAACCTCACCCCCTCCTATAAACATCCTCCAATCATCAGTGAAGTCTACAAAAATCACAAGATTCTTGGTATAATTGGTTGCTTGCAAAAAAAAAAAAAAAAATAGTTAAGTGATTCAATTCTGCTTCCATGTCAAAACAGACATATCAAGTGAGGTTGCAGGTGCCAGAAAAACCCCAGGTGTGTGACTTCAGTTTCTTCCAGCCATGAAATCTGGGGCCTGAAGACAATCTCTCTTAGAACAAGGGGAGCTCCCCCACCCCAGAGTTCACATTACACTCTCTTTTAGCGAGTGATAAAGATGTTCATAATGTAAAAATAAGCACTTCAATGTTATATGTACATCATCTCATTTAATCTTCAGAGCATTTTTTACTGGGCAGATGGAATTATTCATCCCATTTTCCAGCTGAAGAAACTGAGACTTGGACGCAGTTATCTAATCTGCCCAGAGTGACAAAGCCCATGAGAAATGGAGCTGGAATTGGTATTCAGCACTTTCAGAATCCAGAGGCTCTATTCTTTTTTTTGTAATTGGGGTATAGTTGTTTTACAGTGTTGTGTTAGTTTCTACTGTACAGTGAAGTGGAGTTCCCGGTGCTATACAGCAGGTTCTCATTAGTTATCTATTTTATACATATTAGTGTATATATGTCAATCCCAATCTCCCAATTCTTCCCAACCCCCTCCCCGCTTTTGCCCCTTGGTGTCTATACGTTTGTTCTCTACATTTGTGTGTCTACTTCTGTCTTGCAAACCGGTTTCATCTGTACCATTTTTCTAGTTTCCACATATATGCATTAATATGTATTTGTTTTTCTCTTTCTGACTTACTTCACTCTGTATGACTCTGTATTCTTTTTCTTTAAATGGTGGTAAAATCCACATAACATAAAATTCACCATTTTAACCATTTTAAAGTGTACAATTCAGTGGCATTTAGTACATTCACAATGTTATCACTGTCTAGATCGAGAACATTTTCATCCACCCAAAAGGAAACCCTTTATGCTTTAAGCAGCCACTCCCCATTATCCTCCCCACACCCCTCCCTCCAACCACCCAGAAACCACTAATTTGCTTTCTGTCTCTCTGGCTTTGCTGAGGCCCTGTTCTTACCCATTGGTCTATACTGTACCCAGCACCCTGGTGAAACATGGAAGAGGCCTTAGGGTGCTCACAGCAGCCCCCAATTGAATCATGGGGATTAAGAGCCACAGCTGGACAACAAAAAACAGTGGGATATTGAGAGGGTAAGAGGCTCTTCTAGTAGCTTTACTTGTAAAGCTACATTTTCAGTGCCTGGGTCTCTGAGCAAGATACAGATTAATTTAAAGATGTGAGGGGAGTTGAAACTTGAAAGCTTAAGTTATAGAAAAAGATGAAAAGATTCCAGTGGATCCAGCTTAGTAAACCATGGGGGTGAAGAAATGGAAATAATCATTAAGTGAACAGGAATACATATGGAAAGGCTTTTGAGAGAGAGTCCCTCCAGGTCATGGGAAATGATTCAAGAAAGTGAGAGCTTTTAACAAATGAACACAATCTTTTTTTTAAATTTTCAAAACACTATTTTGTTCTCCATATTGTTTGGCTGTCTTAAAAACCAGAAACCACTGCACTCCTGGCTGCAGGAGATACAGACTATAAGCTGTTTTGGGGGGAGCAGGAGCAAGGGCATCAGCCACTCGGTAGCCATCCAGCTAAACAGAACAAGACGAGAAGGAGCTAGAGCCAGGGGTTTGGATGCTTCTCTATTCCCCAGGTTCATGGATGGCCTCTGGGGTGGGCAACCCCATTGGGACCACTATTCGGGGTACTCTGAGAAAGGAATTACTCTGTGTAAGCTTGTGTGAAGCTGAAACAAAAATAGCTGTCATATCCCTGGCCCAGGTGAAAGCTTTCCTAAGCTTTTTTGATTCCCAAAGAATCTTAGTCCCCTTATTATTTCCCCAGGTTTTACCCTCCATTTAAAATACTCCATAGTCTTAGAACACAGGCTTTCAATTTCTCTGGGAGAATACTACTCTTATTCCCACATCACAGACAAATCTCTGGGTCCCACTTTTCTTTGATCCCTTTGTCTGTGGCTACCTGTACCCACGTGCTGCAAATCAGCCTAAGCAAGCAGTTTTCACCTAGGAGTCAGGGAAAGTATTACCGTGCCCAATAGGTTGTAGGAAGCTGGGGGTAAAACAAGAAGAGGTGGCGTCTTCTCTGTCATCATTTAGGACTTGTTCTTGCCTCCGCATAGGTGGGAAAGTGGACTGGACGCCCTCCCTCCTGTCCACTCCTGGCACATAAGCCCCTCCTGGCATTTAGGCAGTTCCGAGCAGTGAAGACCTGAATGCCCAACCCCCAAGCCTCCTCCCCCTTCATTCTGTGAGTGAACTGAGCCTTCCTCAGGATGAGCATGGCTTGGCTTTTCCCCTGTGCTCCACCAGCTCTCTGCCATACTTGCTTCAAGGTGCAGCTCTCAGCCACTTGTAGCTTAATCTGGGCCCCAGGAATTTTTCCCTTTTCTGTATTTCTATATGTATTTTATAGTCTGTGCCACAAAATCTAGTATTTGAATCTAATTTAGAGCTTGTTTCTCAACGCTTAATTTTAGCTCATATTCCTATGGGTAACAGTGGCTCCTCATGGGGAACTGCTTCTGAGGTCAGAAGATCTAGGCTGAAGTCCTGCCTCTGCCCATTACTCTGTGACCTTGGATAAATCCTATATCTTCTCTTTGAAGAATAGGGATAATAACACTTGCTCATTCATTTACAATTATAAGCATTCAATGAGATCATGCGTGTGAAATTATATTGTAAAGCATACATGAACAATATATTTTTTAAATTTCACGAATCCAGGTCTTGTGTCTTCCAGTTAAGTTGTGATCTCCTTACCAATCATCATCATTATTAATCAACTTTAAAAAAATAAAACAATGATATCTCCTTCTAAACTAATTTTTAGGCCGAAGTATTTATTTCCTTTCTCCTCTTAATGTAAATAAACATTTAAATGCTAACTTGAGCATGCCAAATAATTCAGTGTAGGCAATTCTTTTTAGGTTTCTCTCTTATTAACCTTATGCTAAGAACAAAATTCTGTCTTATCTAAAATACTATATGCAGAAGAAAATACACTCAATATGGAATTTGTGAATTTAGATAGGCATTGAGATGAGTGTATCCATTATGGGGTTAAAGCAGGTTCAAGGCAGCAAAACAACTAAGAGTGAAAAGAATATTACAAAAAAGATATTTATATTGCTAAAGAGAGCAAACTTTTGGGGCCTTCTGGAAGTGCCTTTTTATATACAATTTATATGCTAATTGTAAATCATTTGAATATATTAGATAAAGCAGATTCCCTAAGGACCTAGTGCTGGTACAATTTGTCCTTAAAAAAAACAAAGAGAGTTAAATGTTATAAAAGCCCAAGTCTCTGCAATGGCCTCAAGAGCCTACCTAGTCTGCCCCCAATGCTCTACAATTTTCTTCCTTGTTCCATCAGCTCTGGCCACATTGCCTTTCTTGCTGTTCCTATCTTGCTGTTCCTTGACTAGACCCACCCGGGGGCCTTGGCACTGGCTGTTCTCTTCACTTGGAGTGCTCTATTCCAGGACTCCCATGGCTAACTGCTTCCCTTTCTTCAAGTCTTTGCCCAGACATCCCCTCCTCAGACAAGCTCCTCTGACCACTTTACAGTAGTTGAATTTGCAGTCCTCCATTTTGTACACTGTTATTCTGCTGTTTTTTTCCATAGCACTTATCACCTTTTAACATAATAGATAACATACTTCCTTCTTGAATGTATTGCCTCTCTCTCCCTGGTAGAATGTAAGCTCCACAGGCAGGGATTTTTGTACTGTTTATTATTGTACCCCAAGCACCTAGAACAGTACCTGGGATGTAGACACTCAATACACTGTTTTGAATGAAAGAATGCTAAAGCTGCTTGGTATTTGTAATGTGGAATCTGACTTCAGAGATCTACCTGGAAAGAGAGATTTCCAGGGAGACTGCAGAGATCTTCTGGTGAGAAAATGAAAACTAGTAGAACAGAAAAACAATGGAGCAGAGAAAATGAAAAACAGAAATGAGGAAGAGGAAATGAAAGTGGAAAGAGGAAGGAGGGGCGAACCCATGGGTCCCCTTTCCCTCATGGAACTAAAGACTTTTCCACACAATACATAGGTTGGTTTTAATTTTTTGTTTGTTTTGCTCTCTTTTAGGCTGGTCAGCAAGGAATTGAGAGTAGAGCTGAGACAATCTAAAGACTTCTGGGTGGCTTGTGGACTCCTGGAGTTCAGGGCAATTTGAGCACCAGCCCAAAAGGGACTCAGCAATAAGAGAGCTGAAGAGGAGGAAATTTCTTCACCATCCCCATTTCAGAGGAGAAGGATGGGAGGGAGGAGGAACTGGCCATCTCTTTAAATGAGTCACAGAGTTCATGGTAAATATCTTTCATTTGATCAAACTTCTCGGTATGAACTGGATCTCACAGGGCTTACAAAGAGAGAAAGAGAGAGAGAGAGAGAGAGAGAGAGAGTGTGTGTGTGTGTGTGTGTGTGTGGTAGAAGGAGGAAAGATGGGGAAAGGGGTACTGGGCCTAATCTAAATGACATTCCCTTTTATAATTCATTCTAAACAGAACTGGATATTCATTCAAGTCTTTATCTGGACACTCATGGCCTTACTGAGCAAGCTGGGAGGTGATGCTTTTTAACAATCTATAATTCAGAATGCCCATGCCAACTTAGTGACATTGAGCCTTTAATTTGATACTTTGATCTAAAATATAAGCGTGACCTTGGAGGAAAATGAAGGAATTAGGTTCCCTCACTCCAGATTGTATAGGACTCCTTCTTGGTCGCAAGGACATATGTTAACTTCTTATTTTTCTCTAGAACCCTAATCCCAAAGTGTTCCAATAAAATTCCCAGATTCAGGAAGGAAGGAAGGAAGGAGGAAAAACGAGGCGGGAGGAATATCACTTATTTTCTTCCGCTGAAATATCATCCTCCCTTTGTCAGTTTCCCCTGTGGGTATGAAGTCACCTCTGAAGCTTCCTGGCCTCTGCCACACCTGAGAGCAGAAGCTGCTTCAAAAAGGAAAAACAAACTTAATGGAATCGGGTAGGAAGAATGTATATCAGCTGTATTTCTCAATTGAAAATTTAGCAAGATTCAGACTCGGCCTCCACTAGTTACTTAACAACTACCCTCAGGTCAAGAATAATCCCAAATGGTTGGGACATGAACCTAATATTTTCTTTCATAAAACACAGCAAGAGACATGTTGGTTCCCTATTTCTTTCTGTTCCCCAGTCTCACGCACTCCCCATGAAGCAAGCTTAATTGTGTTACACAATATGGAAGCAGGTTTTCAAAATGAAATGGGGTTTCTATTGATTGCCAGCAGATGAAATTCTCATTACACACAATGGGTCTGTAAGATGCTTCTTATGCCACTGCTCTGGGCGACATCCTGGGCACCTATGTTTTTTCAAGAGATGGCCACACATAGTAATATAGTGGTTGAGAGTTTTATCTTTTCCCATTAGGCAGGAGTCATTTCAACAAGCTCTCCTTTGAAAGAGAACATGACAAGCTATATGACAGTCTGTCCTGTACTGTTATGAGCTCCCAGTCACAGGGACTAGAGTTTTTTTAAGCACGGACCTCCCTACAGATTAGAACATATATCTTAAGCGCCAATGTTAAAGTGAATGCAAAAGTTCAGAGGTGCAAAATAATTTAAATGTGCCCAAGTAGTAGCAATAACATCTCTAAAATCTCGGCAGTGAATTATGGATATGTGGAATATTAAAAATGCAAAGCTAACTCAATTTGCATTTGCAATGCCCCCTAGCTGTTACTGGGAAGGAGGAAATTGCTTTCTGCTGAATTCAAGGGCACACTACTTAGTGCTGTATTTAAGTCAAGGAGGAAAATCACTCATTTTTATTCTACCACTTAACTTGTGCTTATGTAATCTGTCTGGCACTGGAGTCAGTTGTCTGATATTAGTTTCAATCACAGAAAGAGAATATATAATTCAATCATTACACCTTGATTTTCACTTGCTTGGTGATCTCCCGGAGCCTTATTACCACCAGCAAATGCCAGTCTGTCATCAGTCAGTGCTCAACTCCGGGTCCATCTCTGACAGACAGCACCGGCCACAAGTTTATTATTTTTATTTTTGAGAAGGGGTGTGAAGCGAGGGTAAGGTTACATTTCCCCAATCACATGGGCAGATAATGCATTCCTTCACTAGGGGCTCCCCCACCCCCAACCCATCATTCCTCATCCATAGGCTATCTCGCTCCCCATCAGGGAAATCCTCAAAGGTAGGGTAGACATGCAAATTAGTAGCTAATATATTGCAAAGCAGAAGCCTGCTTTCAACTTTGTGTCTTCTCCCACCTTGTTCCTCCTCCTTTCCAACTAGTCCTTCCTTCAACTGCTCCTTTTCATTTTCCCTTTTCGGTGGCATTGCCTGATGCTGCCCTTCCAACATTGGGATGGATGTACGAAGAGCAGCTCTCCAGACAGAAGAGGCAACAGTTGACGTTTCTTAAGATGGAAGCTCAATAAGAAAAACTACGTGAGTCTGTTCAAGGGGGATAAGATTCCTCTGATTCACAAATAATGTGAGGAGCCCTGGTTACAGTGAAAATGAGAGATAACACCATTTGGTGGCTGAGGCTGACCATAAATCCCAGTTAAGAGAACACCACTTGGTGTTGGTCCATTTCCCATTGATCTTTGTGATTGTGTTTGACAATCATATTGGTCGTAAGTTGTTTTGTTTCCCTTTCCTCCACATTTCCTTGTATTTATTGCCTCATCAGGAGTCATTGCTTTTTTAAAAAAATTTATCCTGGGCAGATACAATATGACTGATAATAGTGGATTTTAAACCTCAGTTTCATAAGAACAATATAGGCCACACACCCAGGAACTCTGACTCATTAGGTCTGAGTAGAGGGTCTAAGGATCTGCATTTTTAATAGGGACCCCTCTCCCCATCAAGTGGTTAGTTCCAGACCACTCTTTATGAAATGGCCTTTTGAAAGCCACAGAAAGAGGAAGATGCTGTGGTGTAGTCTAGCCTAAACGGTCTCTCCACTCTCATCCCTTTCCTCCTCCTCCTCATTCTTCTCCTTCTCCCCTTCCCCTGCTTCTTCTCCTCCTCCTTCTTCTGCTTCTTCTCTCTCTCTCTCTCTCTCTCTCTCTCTCTCTCTCTCACTCACACACACACACACACACACGCTTTTTAGTCCATGTGATGAACGGGTCAAGGTTGTCTCTTTGTTGCTGCCTAATGAAATCAACAATCTTTCTGGAAGATTGACATAATAGGCTAAAAATGAAACAGCAGAAATTATTCCCAAACGTCAAAGATGAGGCCCAGGGGATCCCCAGAGGGCGGCATATGAGAAACTGAATTGGAAATTGAGTTCCGCTTCCTAAAACCAATTCCCCTATTTTCCTAAAAAATGAAGCATCCCTGGATTTTGTGGTTTGGGATTTGGTGATTCTAAATAGAGCACTCAGAAAGATGAATAATTGTAGTGGGGGGTAGGTAGAAAGGGGTTATTCAAAAGACATGGGATTTCCTTATAATGTACATGAGCTGCAAACCAGGTGAGACAAGCTAATGAGGAGTATCTTAGACAACAGAAAGCCCATTTGGTCCTTGGAATCTCAAGCTCAGTCTCTAGTCAGATAATATTTTACAATCAGAAGTCAGGCTATTGTTTTGAAAAATACATCAGATAGAAATGAGAGCACACAAATGAGAGATTTATAATCCCCATGGTACATGGCTCATAAATTGGCTGCCCTTTTTATCTCTGCAGCAGGAGAAATGAGGAAATCCTGAAAACCCCAGAAGGAACAGGCAGGATGTCTAAGTTAAGAATGCAAGGGGGAAAGGACTCCCTATTAAAACAAAATACTGCCCCCTTTGCCCTGCATGTATCATAACTTACCTGTTTTATTCCATCCTAGCCGGGCTTTGCTAGGTGATTTATTAGTTGGTCTGAATTTAGCACAAAGGGAAGGACAACTAGAAAGTGGCTCCCCACAGCGTATTTCATGAATCTCACTTTCCTCTTGAAATTCACACATTGTGATTCCCACTGTTATTCACCATCTTGTCCCAGATATAAGCAGCTTCCATTATAATTACATGAACCAAGTATGGACGAAAGCTCCTCATCATTTATTTTAACACAACTAAAACCAAATAAAAGCTGTCCCTCCTTACCACAATTTATGAAAATAATAAGGGACTGCATCAGTTCAAAACTACAGAGCCCCTTGAGCACACCTACTCTGTTCCTTTTTCCAGGTTTAATTTGTCTCTTCTAAAGCTGGAGGCCAGGGACAACAAACAATCTAATTCTTCAGGTGAGAAATTATCAAATTATCCTTTCCTTACAGGAAGGACTCTGTCCCCATGGGTCTAACAACATACCAAAACCATAACAATACAACATCACAGTGTCTGTACAATGGGAATTATATACATACAGTAACAGGAAAGTCATGCCATCTCAAAGGAAAAGAAAAGGTTTAGATCCATGATATACGTTGGGGTGATAAATCAGAATACTGCTAAAGACGGGGCAGCACAATCTGGAAGCTGGCCCAAGGGGAAACCCTTACAATATAGGTAACACTGGGTTAAAGCTATAGAAAAATGAAAAGAGAAAAACCAAACTGTTTAAACATTAAACATTTGTTTAAATATTAAAGTAAAGTTAGCCTGACAGCAAAATCGATATTAAATCAGGCCTGGAAACTGTTTTACGACCTCAAACCCTGGGCTTCCTAACTGCCAGTGTCATAAATGATGTCACTTTTCAGCATGGTGGTGGCTGCCAGCAGGCAGGTCAGAAATGCCAGCTTTCATTTAAATTGTTCGTTTGTGATGTAATTTAGAGTTTACTCCCAGGGACAAATGTCACTCTCTGGGTACCAGCCCCTGAAAGTGCTGCTGTGAGCAAAATACTTGCCCTCCTGGTTCCCTTCCGCCCCCAACAGCATGGTTTCCAGAGGGTCCTGTGAGTTCTCTTGGGTTTGAACAAAGATTTGAGGACAATAATAATGAGTTGAGACTCTTTTCCAGTCGGGGAAGGCAGAGACTTTGAGGAAACTCTTCTCGGGTGAAAGAAAAGGCAGCTGTGGAAAGCTGTACCTGCTACAGAACATTTCATGAGCAGGTTGGGATTTGAGGCCAGCAATGTGGACACGTGGGGTTTCAGCCCGGGGGGCAGCCTCCAGATACCAACTGCACAAGGGGACTTGCTGGATAGATGGGGAGAGACTCCCTTTGTTCCCAAACTTAGCCCCATCAGCCCCATCCCCTCTCCAAATACCTCCCCACTGGCCTGTCATGTTGACTTGTTTAGTTTGAAACACGGAAGGACCTGCTAAAATGCAAACATGCTCTGGGAAGAGGAACACCAGGCTTTCCCAGGTCTGCCTTGTAGAGGTGCGGGGGTCCCTTGATGCAGGACTGTCTGCAGCGGGGGTTGCTGCCTCCAGTAAGTGGGGTGGACCTGGTTTACATTCTTCAGAAATGGTTTCAGCATAACGTAGTACAGGATTCTTCAGTTATGGCGGAGATGTGTCATTAAACTAAGCAGTCACCCATTAAGGTCCTGCTACAATGGAACAAAGGAAAGCTAAAGTTTGGAGTGAGCGAGTGAGTGAGCGAGTGAGTGAGTGAGTGTGTGTGTGTGTGTGTGTGTGTTTGGAGGAATGGTGATAATGAGAAAATATATTAGTTTGCTAGGGTTCCATAACAAAATACCACATACTGGGTAGCTTAAACAACAAAAAGTTATTGTCTCATAGTTCTGGAAGCTGGAAGTCAGAGATCAAGGTGTCAGCAGCCATGCTCCCCCAGAAGGCTCTCGGGAAGAATCTGTTCCAGGTCCCTCTCATAGTTTCTGGGAGTTCCTTGGCTTGTGGCAGAAGAACTGCAATTCTCACATGGCGTTCTCCCTGTGTCTCTGTGTCCAAATTTCCCCTTTGGATAAGGACACTAGCCATATTGGTTTAGGGGCCTACCCCACTCCAGTATGACCTCATCTTAACTAATTACATCTGCAAAAACATCTCCAAAAAAAGTCACATATTGAGGTAGTGAGGGTTAGGACTTCGACATATGAATTTGAAAGGGACACAATTCAACTTGTAACAGAGACAAACAGAGGTAGAAATCAGGAAGGATGCAGATAATGAGAATGATAGAGAATGGCCTTGAGCAATAAGGGAGTAATGGGTGTCCAGTAAGTAGGGAAATCAAAGACTAGAACTTGTTCAGGAAGGAGCATTGCTAGGAGCTGAATTCAACCCAGCCATTCTTAGCTCACCCTGAGACACCAGTGAATACTTGTTCTTCTCAAACTGTGTAGTCATTTATTTTGTAATTGCATTTCTACTGAAAATGGAGTGACGCTCATCTTTCTCTTCTTAAAATTACAAGACCATGAGAAAGAGATTAGTGGTCAGAACTATTCAGAAAAGAAATCAATGGTCAATTTATATTCCCCTCCAGGGACAAAAGAAAGCACAATCATAAAGCATACATGGGGGCTTCCCTGGTGGCCTGCCGATGCAGGGGACACAGGTTCGTGCCCCTGTCCGGGAAGATCCCACATGCTGCGGAGCGGCTGGGCCCATGAGCCATGGCCGCTGAGCCTGCGTGTCTGGAGCCTGTGCTCCGCAACGGGAGAGGCCACAGCAATGAGAGGCCTGTGTACCGCCAAAAAAAAGCATATACGGAATCAAGAACCACACACAATATGGGACTATGGCACCACCAAGCAGTAGCACCTCATCCGCTACCTGCTCAGGAAGGGAATCAAGTCAGTGGGGGAATCTGGAACCTCAGAACAAGCGCAAAGAAGAATGCAAGCTAAAGCAGTCCTCATCCACTGCAGATGCAATTATGGAAGTTCAAAGTTGTACTCAGAGATGTTCCAGATTTCTACAAATGGCATAGAGCTGCTACACTATAATTTTTTTAAATCACAAAAGTCACTTCAGCCCAAAATTCTAGAATTGAAATTTCATTTTGCAATTTTCTTCCATTTGGTTTAGAATAGGCCTCTCTCTCCCCAAAATAGATTTCCCTACACCTTTGGTCCTCTATAAATATACAGACATGATCCTTCCTGTAAAAGAGATGTGTTGCAATAAATACTGGTTGTAATAATCTCCTCTGTTTTCTGTCTGCCCCAGTTCTGTCAAATTTGTGTTCACAAAGGGAGGTAGACAAGGAAATTACCCAAGAAGGCACAATTTCTAATTAGAACAGCATAAACAAAACACAGCCTTGGTTTTGCAGGTAGAAAACAATGTCTTCGATTCATGTTCTGCCTAACCATTCCCCTGGAGAGAATGTGCTGTTTTGATTTTCTCATCTATAATAGGAAGGCCTGGTGTTTTGCTTTGGGGGTAGGGGTAAGGGGAGTGTTGCACAGGCGTTATGAGAAGGGATAGCCTCCAAAGGCTTGTAAAAAGATTAAAGTTTGGGTTCTTTTAAAGTATATGCTCCCTGACAGCTTCTAATACAACAAGGCTGGGCTTCCCTGGAGGCGCAGTGGTTGAGAGTCCGCCTGCCAATGCAGGGGACACGGGTTCGTGCCCTGGTCCGGGAAGATCCCACATGCCGCGGAGCGGCTGGGCCCGTGAGCCATGGCCACTGAGCCTGCGCGTCCGGAGCCTGTGGTCCGCAACGGGAGAGGCCACAGCAGTGAGAGGCCCGCGTACCGCAAAAAAAAAAAAAAAAAAAAAAAACCACAAAGAAAAACAAAAACAAGGCTGTTATTTAACAAAAGATGATTTGCATTCAGACTCACAAAAGTAAGAGTGCTTATAGCCAGTTCTAGGAGTAGTTTGTGATGGTGACCTTTTTATGTCACATCACAGGCAAACTCTAGCAGATGACTCCTATGAAAGATTTAGTGTCTGCTCTGTGGAAATGTTTCTTTTATATGGGCATGGGGTTTAATCACTTTTGTCAACATTTAATAGATTCTATTTTTATTTACATAGAGGTTGAAGCAAATAAGAAAATTTATTTAATCTAGAGTTCTAATATATCAGACTCTGCCTTTGAGGAGGTCCACAGTGTCCTTTCCTATCCAGGTTTATAAATTTACCTTATTATCTTACATGACTTTAGTGTAATAACACCAAATTTCTATTTATTAGCTGGATTACTTTTAGTTTTAAGTAACTGAAAACCCAACCAAATTTGTTCAAAGAACAAAGACGACGGTGCATTGGCCTGGGTAACTGGAAAGCCCAGAGAGGTAGAGTAGCTTCAGGTGTAGTTTCCTTCAGGTATGGATTCTTACTAAATTAAAGCATTCCAGGTGAGCCTGAAGCACCTAGGACAGAAGCATCACCCTGCAGTGCGTGATCACGGGAACAGTTTGGAAATGGAAACAGTTGCCTAGACAATGGCCAAAGGTCCTCCTCTTCTTAGTTGGAGCAGCAGAGAACCTCCTGAAAGTAGCAGCTGATTCCAATGAACCAACACAGAGCAACTGCGGCTAGTTTCTGTCACCTTACCAAAACCCTGATGAACCTTTGTATCATTCAAGAACGTTTATTTTCAGCAATGTAGGTTTCCAGTTTTCAAAGAGCTTTAAAGATAGCATTCAACATAAAGAAGTAACACCCATCATGATAATACTGAACTTGCATAAATTGTTTTGGACTTAAGATTGCCCTTGGACCCCTCAAAAAATTTCAACTAATCCCCAGTCATCCAGAAGAGCCTTGGGCCCTTCAGAAGGCCCCAGATCACTGCTGTGCTCTATCTTAACTGCCCAGCAGACTGAACACAGCCCTGCTGACAACAATGAATAATCAGATTCATCTCAGCTGTGACAGGGATGATTCAAAGTCCCACCCCGAAAGCCACGATTGCCTCTTCTGTTACCCCATCCATGAGGATGCTGGTTTCCCATTTCATGCATCAAAGGTCTCACGTGGTTCAGGCTGGAGGCTGAGTGAAGGCGGCTTCCAGGAAAGAAAGTAGAACCTGCAAACCTGCAGCAGGTAGCTCTGCTTTGGAAGGGCATGAAGGAAAAGGATCAATGCCCCAGGAAGTCTGGCCTGTCCATCTCCTTGATCCCTAACTGAGAAGGAGAGAAGACAAGGAACCCTGTCCCTCCTTTTGGCTGAGGGATGGGGCCTGGAGCCTTTACTGAACTGAAGGTATATATACTCCCCACCTCAGCCACCTTACAGCCCAGATCCCCCTAGCTGAACCCCAGGAATTCCTAGTGGCTATAAAATTCCCCACGGCCCAGAAGCACTGGGTTTGCAGTGAACCCTCACTAAAATGTGCTCCTGCAGCCAGACCGTCAGTTCCAAAAGAAAACTCCTTTTAATTTTAACTAGAGCCCTGGGCATCAGAAAGAGTAGAGAAAGGGGATTCATTTATGAGTTTCTATGGCAGATTATGGGTTTTATTTGCTCCTTTACACCACTTTTCAGTCTGTCATTTTGGTAAGGTTAACCCCAGTGTAAAATGTTCCTGTAATTATGCTCGGAAACACTCCCAGACTGCCGCATGCCAATAAATGCCTGGAATAACTGTCAGGCTAAATGAATCCCATTTGGACAAAATGATTATTGAAAGTTATTTTAGTTCCCTATTAAGCAGTTGCGGAACAGAGCTGTAATCAAAATGTTTATTTCAATTAGAATTATTATGGTCAATAAAAAGCTCAAGTAGAAAGTAAACTACACTTAATCAAATAAAGGCCACAGCTAGTTAAACTTCTTGTTTCACACAGCCTCTATCCTTGAGTCTGACAAGAGGCACCATTATCAGCCTTTTCCATAGTATATTAATGGCTTTTACAGCCCAGTTTCTATCTAGCAGATCCAGAGTCGCTTGCTCTGGGTGGACAAAAACCCCAGTTCTTTCTTGATGGTTTACCATGGTCAGCAAGCAGGCATGAGCCCCTCTGATTCTGTAGCTAGAGTAGGGGAGCTTCCCTCACACTGAATAGCTGAGAAAAAGGCCATGTGGGGTCGTAAGGCCAACAGCAGTATTTATTCATTACCCTGCCCCCAGGACTGACTGTGCACAAGCATTCCCCATTACTACAGTAGTGATTTCTTTTCCTGTGGTTCCCAGGAAAAGCGCTTTTGCTTATTAGGTCAATGCAGTCATCCTCACCAGAAAACAGCTTTTGGGAGTTTTTTGTTTGTTTGGAGAGGGAGCTAATAAAAAGAGCCTATTTCTATCCTACTATGATCTGCCCCTGAAATGAAACCTTGAGTACACACAAGCAAATTACTTTTCCCCCCTAAATCACAACAGTTTCAGTCATAATCTTCTATGGCTAGAAGTATTGTGCTGTTCTTATAAATTCCAATGCCCAGGCCATACCCGAAGTCAATTAAGTCAGAATCTCTGGAGTGGGGTTTTTAAAGTTCCCCAGGACATTCTGACGTGCAAGTAATGGTAGGAATTCTCCTCTAGGACAGTGGTTCGCAGAGTGTGCTCCCGGAACCAGCAGCATCAGCACCACCTGGAAAGTTGTCAGAAATGCAAATTCTCAGCCTCCATATGTTAATTACTTCCTCAGAAACGGGTGTGGGCCAGACAATCTGCACTTTAACAAGCCTCTGCTCGAGTCTGATGCATGCTTAAGTCTGAGAACCACTCCTATAGGGGATCTTCTTTAAAGAGGAAGATAGAGCAAAGATATTTATCACTAACTCACATATTAAGAGAAGCCAACATTTACCCATAATAGAACAGGAGCAAGATTGATAAACCGGCAGTGTCCACTGATTGTCTTCCTGAATGTTAAGACAAAGGATATAAGAAGAGATGCTGAAAGTACCTCTTAATTCCTACCTAGACAAGGCAGAGGGTCTCTAAGAACCGTCATCATAAAAGCCAGGGTTGGTTGAATAATGAGGAAATAATGAGTTCACAATCTACAATCAGAATGTGAAAGGAAGCTAAAATGCACAGAAAAAAAGGAAAGCTGGCTCAAAAACAAAACCTTGAGTCAGGTAAGCATTTGCTTCACCTCTTCTTTTATGTATAGCAGTTCTTCTGACTTCTCTTGTTCCTTGCTTCCCAAGGTCCCCATGATTCTCAGAGCCCCTAAGAACAGACAAGGGGATTAATTCATGCTAAACGACTGACAATAACTTTGTGTTCTTACATTTCCTTGCTTTTTTTGGATTTTAAACAACGTTCCTACGACATCAATACTTAACTTGGAGACCTGCACTGCTTGCATGCCAGTTCCTGTTCCAAGCCTTTTACATATACTAACTCATTCAACACGCATAACAACACTATGAAATAAGTACTAGTCTATACCATTTCACAGGTGAGGAAACTGACCCACAGAGGTGTTACGGACTTCTCCCAAGGTCATCACCTGGCACCAGGCAGTCTCCCTTTAAAGTGTGTGCTCTTAACTATTATGCTAAACATCCTCTCAGAACAAGTGGGCTTTTAGTCGTGGAAATCCTGGGCTGGGAAGATTTGGGGAAGGAGCTCTCTGAGGCCTACTCCCTCCACATCTGGTAGCTAATTGCCAATTCTATCTAAATATCAGGTCAGGTTGGTCATACGTTTTCCACTTTGGTGGAATGTTCCCCTTAGAAGATGTGTAGTGTCAGCCTTGTCTTCAAA